TAGGATAACTATCTACCGTATATTATACTAAACATGGCTGACAGTTTACAATCACAATACTAAGTTACATTACAATAGTATAAAACAAGTAGTTAACTAAGATACTATACCGAAATCGTATTAAGTAAAGTATAAGCAAATAAAATACTTCCATTTTATCAATATTATACTATATAGAAGGCCTTTACTAGTTATAGTTTACTAACTTTAAATGCAACCGTATCATTTGTTCAATAAAGAAACATAAAGTACTATTTCCACAATACGATCTTGCCTCGAGAAACTAAATGATGTTATTGGTTATTATAATGCCTTAGTTTGATCACGGAATCGCTCTAAGTTTAGACATATTTATCTTAATATTATAGTAAGACTAGTTCCGATACTATCACAAGATGTTCAATTTCTATACTGTAGATAAGAATAAAGCGCATATACTATAATTTGTTGAGATCATAATCAAATTACAGTAGATTGTAGATTAAAGCATAGATGATAGAGTATATTATGAATTCAATGTCCTATATTACTTCAAATATTAATCAATTCATTACGCGTATTCTTGAAACTTCGCCATCTGATCTTTAGAGTCTAATTTTACAAAATAACGGCCTGCAGATAGTGTGAAGTGTATTTGAACCCGATATATTAGATAATAGTGTCAAAATTAGAAAGATTAGAGATGGAACTCTAATAGCTTCTTAATTAGATTGAACTCCTGGATATATTGTCAATGGTAAAGCTTATAGATCTAAGTTTTATATAATCTTAATACAGTACTATGTTGGTTTATTGCTAGATTATTTTGTTAATTAAATTATCTTTTGACTACGTCGAATAGACGCCATTAAGCTGGTGTAATATGTTTACTTACTTAGTTAGCTCATAATGTAGTAGATACGTATAACAAAAACTGCCTTGTACTCTAAAATATTACTTCAAGTATCTGTAATATACGCAACAAAGAATGTTCACATATGGTGCGAATTGCGCATCAATCTTTTATCCAAAGTTTACTGGCATCCAGCAACGAAAGCAATTTTAGCCTTTGTTTTATTATAATAATGCTTGCATATTGCTGCTTTTTAAATTTGATATCATGCAATCGGATTAAAGCCCAAAATTAAACAAATCAAGCCATTCGAATATGTCTATTTTACCTTCGTGACGTCATTTAAGGTTAACGAGAAATGTTGTAAGAATATTCTCAACAATAGCTACAATAAATGTGATCATCCCTATCCAAGGTAATTTACAACACAGTTGATATCAAAAAATCTGAAATCAACCAAAACAAAATATATGCTTTTTTCAGCTTTGATCGCGAATCATAATTGGTATGGTGGCAACAATTTTATGCCACTTTTTAATTATAATTAAATTATTCATAAAATGTAAAAGTTGGTAAAAAAAATAATCAAAAGACTTTCCATGACGTAAATTTCTTGGTATGTATTCAGTTCTTTGACGAAATAGCCATCATAATGCATTTATTTTACCTTCTAAAATATTTTAATAGTACCAAAATATATACAATCTTGTCTCCATATGGATTTATAGTAAATTTTGTACCGGTATCACATAAATTGCAATTATAAATTTACTAGCCAAATAATATAGAAGAATTTAACGGTTTACGATTCTTACCCTGATGAGTGTACGATTATAAAACGATTTACCTAAGAACTATAATGTAAATGTTTTCAGTAGTAAATATATAGTATTATATGATTGATTTGGATTGCAACGAAATTTTTACCTCTGCACCTCCATAATATCAACAATAAATATCCAGAACTATAATTTCATATAATATCACCTGATTTAAATAACTAAAAAGGGATAACTAATGTTTGTAATTATGACAGCATTACGAATTTATGAATTTTATCATCATCATTTGAAAGCAAGCTTAGCATGCTTTTAGTTTACTTCTCATTCCTTTTTTAATCTAAATTTACAAATTTTCTTCTATAGCATCTATTCTACAATGCTTGCGAATGACATCGTCGTATTTAGGCTTTCTCAATACGTATAGAACATGAATATTATTAGAGAAATAATATAAGTTATTAGATATTAGCCAAATAAATTAAACATCTATTAAATAACAAAGTTCAATTGTATGACTATTTCATTTTATTTAGTGTACAACATTGAAAAATGATATTTAACTGTCATTCAAGCCCTATAATAACGAACGTTATCCATTAATCCAACGATAGCTATTGTTCACAGTTTCAACAATCTTCTTTACCTACAGACTATTTATCGTTGCACATGGTATCTTGAAACTACTTTTATATATGGATAGGTAATACATACATATTTCTATGACTGATAGAAACTAATATATACTATTATTTTCTGATATGTGCTATGTTTTATCCTATTCAGTACTGCATACTAGGATAAAAACATATGAACTAATTTCTGTTGTAACAACTTTCATCTATAATCTATTAAGTAAGGAATTTACAAGGCTTCAATTTGAACCAGAATGAAAGTTTTAAACAATCTAATTTGTAGAATACAAAGATCTTCATTAAATTTACTTACGATTCTAGTGCACAGGGATTAAATGAGCGTGCTGAAATTTTACGTTGTAAATATCATGCTAATGTGTAGTATTAACTTTAATTTTATTTAATTATTCACATATACTTATTATGAAATATAGATGACAGATTATTGGAATAGTCTACTTAACTATACAATATGATAACAGTTATAAACATTCAGGTGATGATGAAATTAATTTTTCGAACATGATTAAAATCGTAAAGTAATTTAGGAAATAACTGTACTCTATAATCAATGCGGGCTTTTCACTGTCAACTTCTGACATCACGATAACATATCATATCCGGTAAGGCCGCAGAGCTTCTAATTTTAGGCCATGTATGATAATTTTCGCCCACAAAATATTATATTTTTGATTCTTATAACCATATTATTGCAGCTCAAGGGTATAAAATTTCTAATGAATTAGATATTAAATCATTTTAGACTAAAGGTGGCTTACAGGTAGAATATTCAAGTAGTCATGACATTGATTCTTCCTGTTTATAAAAATTTAAATAATTAGTTTACTGAACATCTGCTTATTGATTAAGGTTAACTACGCAACTTCAAATCGCATATTGACAGTTCCAAATATATAAGTTGCCACTCTATGAGTACTGTAATTTCTCGTAATATAAATACATCAGCAAGAAATTATTGAAATAGCCGAAGATATTAAATTTTCGTATGACCAGTCAAACCTTATTTTATTTTATTATGTAGAAGTTCACACTAATTTTAGAATATCATATGCATTATACGAGTATAATAATAAGTTGACTGTAAGGTATCCGTGTCTCAACTACCATTATCTATTTATGAATAGTGCCCATCATAGACACGCTTACATGGACAATAGTAATGCGATTCGATAGCACCAAATATAAAGGAAAATAATTACACATAAAATGAACACCTTGCCAAGAAATTATTGAAATAGCCGAATATATTAAATTTTCGTATGACTAGTCAAAACTTTAATAACCCCCGTGCAAATTTTATAAAATACACTAATTTTAGAATATCACATGCATTATACGAGCATAATAATAAGTTGACTGTAAAACGTCCGTGTCTGCTTCTAATATTTTTGAAACGTCAGTAACTTGTTGGTCTGATACCCAACTATATCAAGATAGTCTAATCCTTCATCAATCGTCCCGAAATTCGAATAATACTGTAAATACTAGTTTAGCCACTATCAATGGGCATCTTAAATTCTAACTAAAAGCATTCCTTGGCGAAGTCAATTATGGGCTGCAGATTAAATAACTACGATTCGTAATCTAATATTTGAAACTAAGCGCTAGAATTACTCGAAGACACAGTATAAACACAATTTTAGATCTTATTAATTTGAAAGTTAAAAATTTCAAGATCACTTACCGTTGTTGTTAATCTATAAAATAGAAATTTGATCCTTTAGTTCTATTTTCTGATAGATAGTAAAGATATTTGGTTAAAGATAGCCAAAATGACGATGAGACAAAATAACCCTAAGTCTATTTGCGAAAGAGAATTTTAAGAGAAATTAATTAGAATCGTTTCTCGAAGTATATTACACTTGTAAGTATATTAGATAATCTTCGTATACACCATTATTACAACAATCTAATACGTTATATTTTTTAGTACTATTCAAGAGGCCATTGTTTCTAGCGGTCACGAATTATAATATAATCATATACATATAAATGTATTTATTAATTAATTAAATAATGAAGCCTAATCCCATTTCGAACATGCCATTAACGATATTATATTAAAATTTTAGCGAGTAAATATTCGAGATATCTCAACTGCCATTATCTATTTATGAATAGCACCCATCATAGACACACTTACAAGGACAACAGTAATGCGATTCGATAGCACTAAATATAAAGAAAAACAATTTCTATTCAAGTTTACTGGAAAATAAAAAAAGCATTCAACGGTACCTATGAGCCATTATTAACATAAATAAAACCTTGAAAAGAATTTTAGAATAATCAGAATTTATCAATATAATATACTATAGGAAAAACAGAAGCAAACTTAGAAGTGCGCCGACTTTCTTACTATATAGTTATCAAATTATAAGTTCTTATATGAATTTTTACTCGAATAGCATCTAAACCTGTAGTTATAATAGGAAAATCGTTGCAGTGAATCTTATACTTCATTCTGAATGCATGCATTTTGCTTTCTCTGTAATTACAGTTAGTAAAACCTTTAAGACTTAAAGTAGATTCTAGCCTTACGTTTGAAAAGTTTAATATTATTTATGTATTCAGTACTTTAAAATCATTTATAATTTGCAGTTTTCTTGATTCCTTATTAAATTGTTAATAGTCTGGCTATCTTATAATAAATTTAATCTTATTTTCAGAAATAGCATCAATTAAGTTACCCTAATCAAATTATTTCATCTATACTAACAGTGAAGAGAAAAAATGACTACGACATCTCTACCGGACAGCAATGGATCATTTTTATCAACCACTTCAGCGAATTCACGATCTTCGGATGCTATAGCTCCAATCCCTTTTGTGATGCATGCTATCATAAGCTATATCATAGCTGCTGGCGGATTTATCGCTAATAGTACTATTATTATAGTAATTCTGCTATCACGTAGCTTACGATCCACTAATATGTTTATGTTATTTTGCAATTTAGCAACCGCAGACTTTCTATTAGCCGTTACCATTCCGTTTACAGGAACAATTATGTTAAATAAAGGTTATTTTTATTATGGTCTCTTTTTATGCAAAGCTATACCTGTAATCCAAACAACGGTTATTATCGTTTCTGCCTTAACGTTAGTCGTAGTTAGTATTGATCGTTCATTAGCTATCGCAAAACCGTTCTTTTTTGAACGTTGGTGTAGTACTAAAGCTATTGGTTTAGTTATTTCTCTAATTTGGATTTTCAGCTTTACCTTCGCTTCGCCTCAAATTCATTTTTTGACCTTAACACCCTATCAATATTGCTATATCCGTATGCAAGCACAGTCTTCTATAACTTATTTAATTTCTGGTATGATAATACAATTTTTTATGCCTTTGGTTTCTGGAATCGTTTCTTATATTGTCATTGGTAAAGTACTACGAAAATTAAATCAATTACCTATCCATCTACAGCCTAATGCACATCAACTTTGTTACGCTAAACGTCGCGCAAAGACGGCATTTATTGTTCTGCTAGTTTATATTTTATCTAGTATTGGATTTTATACTCTACTATTTATGGATGTAGCGCTTCGTACAAGATTTAAACAAGATCCATCCTTGTATTTTATCATGGCCAATATCTCATTTGTATTTAGAATGATTGCTTATTCTTCATCGGTGTGGAATCCTTTTATATATATGGCATCAAGTCCATCTTTTCGTCAAAGCATTAAATCGATAAAATTTACTTCTACCATTATTCCTATTCGCAGAACATCAACACTATTTATTATTCGTGATAGTGGCGGCTGTATGCGGAAAACATCGACTAAATAGTTGATTTCACCGGCTCAACGAAATAGTATTAAGACCAATACTATATTATTAAATGCGGACATTTAACCTCAACCTGTATGCTAGTTTATAGCCAAACTTATAGTTCGTACATAAGCTAAAAGTCTAAAAAATAAAATAAGAGTGATGTACCCGTATTAAGTTTCCCATCCTTAATTACTATTGCATTGCCGCTAACTTAAACTATGAAACGAATTCGCCTATATAATTTATTACATTTTCTAACTGTTCTTAAATTAAAGTTAACAAGGTGTACTAGTTTTATTATTTAATAAACTTACAGCTGGTATTGTTTATTGCATATAGTATGTCTTAAACGAAGATAAGAGGCTTACTATATCCATAATATGCTTGGAAAATGGTATAACTGATCCGTATATGGAATATCGTTATCTATAGAATAAAGTTTGCTTATCGCCAAGCATAAATCTAGAATTCTATTGCTGATATGGCGAGTATTGCAGTGTAAAATGGTTTCAAATGCTTTATAAGTATGGAAGTTACGAAAAATGAATGATTACTTTAATAGTAAATGCAATCTGTTCATATTAGAAATAAAGCTAAAGCTACTTCGTGACACAAGTCTAAGTAATATACTATTAACTTAGAAACGATGCAACTTATATGATGACCAATTTGACTTTGTGATAAAGTGTCTAACTTTAAGCAAGACTTCCGTATCTTGAGTATAAATTACGTCTTCTACCAAGGGCTAGATTAGCTACAACTAACTAAACTTCGGAGATAAAATATCCTGTTTATATACATTTAGTTACAGAGTATCACGAGGAAATAGGGATCAATATTTATTTTAATTAGATTAGCATTTCGTTACTAGCGTATCTTAAGGTATGAAGATCACCCAATACAGCATCTCTAACAACTACTACAAGCTACTTTGTAACTACTAACACGAATACTCACTTATAAAATCTTATATTCTACAATTTAGAACTTACAAGGGTATCTATCTGACAAATTAACACGTGGGTTACAATACTCATACAATCATACAATCAATATTTAAGCTATACTTCGGGCTGCACTATAGGCTTAAAATTCACGCTCAAGTTTGAGCAAAAATAATGTACACTAAATATGATTTGGATACGGAAACACTACGGCTATGAAAAGATATTTAATCAGTAAGTGCTATCAAATCATATTTATGAGAATAAATGTGTGTTAATCTGTTACGTACAGTGAAATTTCCACGAGTTTCGCTAAATAATAGAAATACAGTATATTATAATATACATATTTCCGCTATTTACAAAATCTTGTGTTGAAATTTTCTATTACAATAAATTGTTAAGCGGTATTTGGTAATTGCAAATGTAATCGTAATCGAATATGAACTTTGAGAAAGAGTCACAATATGGCAGGCATCCGATTCTTACACAATTAATCTAGTATCATACTTATGCAAAATTATCCGTAATAAAGTAATTCTAGGCGCAAAATCCTCCGAAGACTATTACCCCAACCCGTAAGAGTACGTTGAATACTTGCTTGATAGAAATATGAACTATTGGATAAAACGAATTAAGATTTGAAGAAATAGGCGATATTCACTTCAATCGCTAAAGTAGATAAAGCGTATGATGTTACTTACTAAGTAATGAGGTTACTGATCTCAAGACGATTCTTTACTGAAGCCTTTGCACAGTATATTTCGGACTATTGATCATGACACCGATTTATTACACATGCACTGTTATTTATTTTTAGAGCAATAAATTAATTAAAGTGGACCAGCGTCTTTAAAACATGACAAATAAATATTTGTTACCGTACGAACTACTGTATAGAAATAAAAGACTAAATTTACTGAATTAGTACTTATATATAGTGATAACTATTAATAGCTTATAGTAAGAACCATGATAGTTATTACTGGTTACATTAAATTATACCGCACGGTAGTAAGAGTTCTTATATGGTAGCTGATGTTAATTGATTATAGTGTCATGTCTTGTGACGCTTGTGATTAATATCTTGAAGATATTCAATTATAGTCGATACCATAAATAACTCCATGAATATAAATCTGTAATCTAGTTTAATAAATGCGCCTCACAATATCTATCTTAGTCAAATAGTATTTTCTAAAAGGCTTTTATTACATGGCTTTAGGAATAGTAGAGCAAGAATTAATTACTACAAGAATCTATTCTAAAATCTGAAGTATTCGGAGCTCAAAGCGAAGTGAAGTCTCTTCTCTCCATGAGCTCATCTCTGCAGTTCCTGTATGCATTTCGTTAAATCCATTTATGACAACTTGGTTAATCTATAATCAGATATGAGTCATCAAATAAAATACTTTTCTCTAATGGTACATCATTATTTTCTATAATCTAAATCATTCTTTTTAAGATGTCACTACTCTTCTATTAGCATCTAGGCCCTTTCTCCGAAGGGAATCTTAACAACTACTAAGTTTCTAGCTATATAAATCTTGTACCGTAATTATTAAACTAGCTTTTATTAGTCATCAACAATTTCTAATACAGTAGTTAGCAATCATCTAATTGTTACAATTCTCCTTTATAATTCGAAAATGGATCTTAAACACTAACTTCACTAGTACTCGTGTTCCCAACTAACTTAGGGACCTATCGTAGTTGAACTAACTCTCAGCTACACAAATAAGTTACTTATGATTAAATAGGTCTAAATACTTCACTTTATTTACGTTAATCTTAGTCGTAAAATGTATTAAAGAAAAATATAAGAATATTCTTAGCAATAGTAGTCAAGTGACCCTGCAAGTGACTAAATGGAACTGAGCAGCTAAGCTAGTGGTCGGCTTTTACAGTCTTGGCCTACGCCGATGGTGCACTTGTGATTATTCTTGACATAGCGACTTACACTGCATAGTATACATATCCTAGTATAATCCAATACGGATACATCACGACATCTAGTTATCTAGAATCATTCGGTACATATTTACGATTATAAATATCTGTGTATTGATTTAGCTATCCAGTATGAACTAACTTTCATAATCTTATGATGACTCATTCATGATAGCTGTTGCTGGAGGGTATTAAGCTCGGTGGATAGCTGAGTAAAATCGGAATTCTGTATTCGTTTAACTTAGAAACTAAGGCATCTAAATTCTTGTGAGATAGTTAAGTGATACCGAATCCCGTAGACTTTAGTAGTTTAGAGATTTATTTTACGTTATCCTTGTCACGAAGCGGGTTTGTGACAGTACTTTTAGTAAAACTTGGCTTACTAAAAAAAATTTTGGCTCATCTACTATTACTAATCATATCTTGCAATCAAGCCGCAAGATCAAACTAAATTTTACTTTCTCACGATCTGTTCTTAATCATAGCATTTAATTTGAAGCATTGAAGTGGATTCTTTGTACCACTAAATTACTTAGTGCAACCTTTTAATATTTAGAAATCGTAACATATTCATCGTTTTAAAATGCTGCAAATTGTACAAGTTCATTATCAAAAGTATAACTTATACTATTGGTATAATTCTTAAGCCTGTAGTACGTAGCTTGTAGTTAGTAAATGTATGGATCAGCAAGTATCTAGATCTACTGAATGAATTACCGTATTTACTAATATCTCAAGGCACTTCGGTTGAAGATCGACTTATATAATTACGATAAATTTACGTTCTCTTAACTGATTTTAGTATGAAATATCCCATTAGATCACGCAAAAATCTAAATTAGAAATAACGACAATAGCTCTAACTGATTAACTACCGGTCATATTTATATATACTGATGTATAGCCCTGCTATCGACCTCCATTTACTATAACACTAGCAATACGGGTTGAGAAAATAATTTCGGCTATTTATTGTCACTACCAACTAATTGAAATTACTATATACTGTTATATCACAAGGCGATCTACTGTACTGAAACTGTTTTCCGTAGTCAGAACTATAATCGACTATTCTAGATAACAAGTTAAGTATTCAACTTAAAATGAAATCTTAAATCAAATTTATTAATCGGTAACTGCTTAAACAGATATTTTAATGGCGTAAATAGTTAAACTGTTCAACCCCTTTTAGATTTACAATGTGACCATTCATAGGTAATATTTCTACCAAAATGTTTCCGTTTAAGACTTCTCTTATCTAACTGTAGTGTTGAATACAGCACTAATATACGAAATATCCCCGATTTTCATTACTTCTTATCGAACTTATTTAGTATGAAATTTAAATTTAGAATATCCAAAATCTGTATACATTAGCATATGCAAGTTTACCAATCAGGTTTATAATACATCGGCAGATGGCAACAGTATCAGTTAAACCAATTCCCAACAGTTATATTTAAAGGCTACCGCTAAATTTTAAAATTTCCATCTTAACTGAATAATTACTTAGATTACAGCTTTATAACGTAAACATTAGTTTGACCAATCTTGTTCCTAATGCTCATGTTTACACTATATTCAGTAATAGAATAACATAAGAACGTTGATGACAGTCGCCATCCCCTAATAAAGCGTAAATCTACATATTTGCATGAAATAACCACTTACGGTAATTTGTTACCGTGACAAGCCCATATTATCATATTTCCGAATTATTTTCTAACGTTATAGATTGCAATTAGAATTACCACGAAATACTCTATATATTTACTCAGCTTAAAGTCTATAGCTTGTAAATCGTACAATAGCCCAGAAAACTTTTATTTTAAATTAACTAAAAAATTAAGGAATTGATTCATTTTACTAGCTGCCCAAATCATATTCTCTTCTAATAGTAGCTGAAAACGACAGGAACAGAAATTTTCATTTAAATTCAAAACTTTGAATTTACGTATTATAAGCAAATTACTATTTATAGAGGAATACTTCGGCATACCGTTCCTATTATTATAGACTTTGAAGAAATCTCGATTGTTATAGTGTTTGAATTCTATTGAATAAGAAAAACCATACAAGTATCTCACCTACTAGTTTACGAATTAATACGCTATAGCATTC